TTTTAAACGGGGGGGCGGGGGGGTTTTTTTTTTTTTTTTTTTTTTTTGAGGGTGTCCCTTCGAGAGCACCCCGAGCCTGGGCCAGATCAATAGGTCCCAGACCAGGTTCCCGGAGAGGATCACCTTAGTTCTCATCTGGCTGAAAAGCCCAGGACGGCGAGCGGTGAGCCGGGCCCTGAGAACGGGCGCTGGAGGGGTGGGGATGTGAGAGCTTGACGGGCCCAGAGAGGTCACCGAACTCTACTTCCTTTGATACCTGGACAGTCGAGGCAGACAGGGAGAGGCTGTCCAGGCTGAGACACCCTCCTGAGCGAAGTCACTGGAGGTGCGGAACTGAGCGTGCCTGGAGATTAAAAGAGCATGTGCGGGGCCGGCAGGCAGCGTGGTGAAGGCACTGGAATTGCCACAGGGGCCACTACAGTTCGAGTCCCAGACCTGGAGGCTTTTTCTTTCTCTCTCTCTCTCTTTCTGTGGCAAAATTCGTGTGAAAAAAAAAGAATAAATTAATTTTAAAGTAAGTAGTTTTTAAAAAAAAAGAAAAAAGAGTAGGTGCATGAGTGTGGGCTGGGCTGGAGCAGCGGAGTGGAGCTGGAGCTCTGCATCTGTGTCCTTGGCTCAGCAGCTCTCAGCTTTCTGCTCCCCCTCTAGGCATCTGGGCAGTAATCTAGGGAGGCGGAAGGCAGAGGGTGAGTCTCTCGGGCTGAAAAAGGGCTGTGGTTTACTAGCAGCCCTTTAATGGAACTTCTGCCCTTAGCCCTCTTCCACTTGGAGCAGTGAACCAGGTTCCAAACTTTTTGGTCTTTTTCACTCATACCCCACCACCACCCCATACCCAGCATCCAAGTTCTATCAGTTCTACCCCTTGGCTGTCATTTCTTCTTTTTTTATTTTGCCAGAGGACACATGTGCTCATGGGAGGTGGGGCTTAAGCACTCTCATGGGGGATGATCAAGCAGCAATCCCTTTTCCTCCATCTCTCCCTCCTTTCAGGATTTTGGCCACGTACACATGCACCAACTGGTTGGGACTCAAACCAGGCAGCTGGCCGTGTGGGATCCAGCCACCTTAACCTCCACACCACCAGCTGGCCCTGGTGTGTGGTTTTTTTATTTTTATTTTTTTGCTCTTTTCCACCTTTGCTGCTCATCTCCCAACGTAGGTCTTCATCATCATGTTTCTGAAAAGTACCAAGCAGAGTTGTCCGTGTGGTCTCCAGAGCCTGGCATGACATGCCCCTCCACAAATATTGTCCTCCTGGCCAGCGCCAGCCCCGGAACACTGGCTTTGTTGTTGGACCTCACGCCACACACACTCTTGCCTTGAACTTTGCCCCACTGTCACTTCTGCCTGCTGGGCCTACATCTTTCCCTCTCCCAGATTTTTGCTGTGTTGCCACCTCTGCATGAAGCCACCCTATGCACCTGTTTAGTGCTGCAGTCCCCTAGTACCGTCCAGCCCCTCGCCTTGCTTTCTACTTGTTTCCTCATAGTGGTACACTCGCCCCCTTCTAACCTACTGTACTTCACTGATTCGTTCAGGTCTCTGCTTTGTTCCCTGCTGGGTCTCTCTCCAGGACCTGGCACAGAGAGCAGCATGTATTAGGTGCTCAGTGAATTTCAGTCAGCTCACCAGTGAGGAGTCCCTGTGTTTCCCTCCTCTTGCTCATGTAGGCCCCTTCCTCTTCGGGGTGAACCTCCCCAGCGAGCAGCTCTGGTCAGGTGTCAGCCCTCTGACTACAGAGTGATAACTAGGCTTTTCAGCATGGGGGATGGGCCTACTGCCCACTCATACCCCTGCTATTCCTAGGTCTGTGGGGTAGCCACTTGACTAAGTAGAAGGGACACACATGAGTTCTGTCCAGGCTGTGCCAGCTGTGTGACCTTGGACATGGCACTTGATCTCTTGCAATCTCAGATTCTCGTCTGTTGAGAGGGATGGCTGCTTATAGGTCTACCCAACTGGGTGCTTTTGGGGTACTGATGGGACGGTGTAGACATGAGAGGGCCTGGCATTTAGCAGACCTGCAGGCAGTAGTAGAATCCTCTCATTTGCTCTTCTAGTGCCCTCACCTGGCAAGCTGAACCCTCAGGCTTGTTGACACTGCAGCCAGGGCTATCTTTCTGACAGGAACACTCACCCAACCTGCAACTTCTGGGGCTCCCCAGCTCACCTGGGTAGCTGCTAGGCTGGACACACAACCCCTGCCTGTTCTCCACTGTGCTCCCAGTCTCACTTCCCTCCCTGTGGCATAACCTACGTGAGTAGAGCATGCTGGCCTGCGTCAGCACCTCACCCTTCCCACCCTAGCTATGGAATGGCTTTCTGGACACCTACACCCTCTGCTTGGTGCAGTCCTCTGGTGCCTTTAGGACTCTGCTGGGAGATTGCCTCACCATGGTGGTTCCTTGGCCCAGCAACCTGCCTAGGTGCTGTTAGCAAACCCCCATCAGAGCGCACACCTGAGCAGGTCTGAGAAACGCTTCTCCGCCTTCCTGGCATAGCCAGCCTCTACTGCTTCAGTGGTTTGCCTGGAGTCCCATCTAGAGCTCCTTGTGTGGAACAGGTTGTCTGCCCACAGACCAGCACTGAGCTTCCAGCAGCCTGTTCTACCTTCCATGCTAGACGGTGGGAGGCAGGGCTCCGGCAACCTTCGCCCTTCACAGAGGCCATTCCCCTTTTAGGAGGAGAGGATACTCATCTCTCTGGAAGGAGATTGGCGAGCTCGCTTGTCTCCTGGTGAACCCTGTCGGCAGCCCTCTTCCCCTTGCCTGGAAGTGGAGTGAGTCTCATTTCCTCGACGGCTCTCAGCCTGAGCTGTTGTCCTAGCCTATATAGTGTGTGCTCATGTGGGTTTCTGATGGACTCAGAAAGCTGTCCCATTAAAGGAAAAGGACTCGAGGCCTCTGATGTGTGAACATTACCCATCCACCAGGCCCTAGACCGGCACTCTTCAACAGTCCAGAGCTATTCTCCTGTATATGTGTGGCAAAAAAGACATAGTTTACAAAACAAATTCTTGCTTGTCTCTTCTAGCATGTGGTTACTGTGGTAACCCCAGGAACTAGCCTTCATACAGGACCTGGGAACCCCTGCCTGGAAGGCACGGAGGCCTGATAGTGGTAGGGGGATTCAGAAGAGGGCCACATAGGAGGCATGGTAAAGGAGGCTCCTCTAGAGGAAGTAATATTTACCATGAAAATAATGGCCAATTGGTGGCACGATTAAGGCAGATGAATCCCACATGGCAGACTGGTTTAAGTACCACACCCAGCAGCTTGAAAAATGCACTAGGTGCATGTGTGTGTGCGTGCCCAAAATCCCAAGAGGAGAATGGAGGAGAAGGGATTGTGGCATGGCCATCCCCCTTGGAAGGTGCTTTCTCTCTATCTGTCTCTCTCTCTCTGGCACTCACTCTGTAGCAAATCTTAAAGAGAAGAATTGCTGCCTTTAATGGGACGTTAACAGGCCCTGGGAATGTGCTTTGAGCTTTGTGCTCACTTGTTAGTTTCATTCTCTCTCATCACGGTCTCACCAAGCTGTTTGTTGTGCAGGTCCCCTCCTGCAGCATAGGCTCAGTTCTTTTAAATGACGCCCCAGTGGGATCTCTGCCAGGAAGGGGTACAGCTGGGATTTGAACCAAGGCTGTGGACTCTGGATTTATTCCATTATTGCCAACTGCATTGAAAAGTGATGTGAATTTCCTAGGCCATGAGGGGAGCAGCAGCTTCCAGTGAGCTCGCTTCCTGGTTAGCCCCGTCAGTGTCCCAGTGTCACCGTCCCAGGCACACACTCCTCAAGCCCCTGCCCACAGAGGCCAATGATGGCCACATTGGAGTCAGAGGTCAGGTGTGAGGATCGCCTTGCCCCCATGGGTGCCACGTGCCTTCTCATTTGCTTGTGCTGCCCCGAGTACCCCAGGAGACAGCACGTGAGGTCACGTGGCCGTTTCTGACTGACAGCACCCCCAGTGAGTAGCACAGCCTTTTGTACCAGTGCAGCTCCTACCCCTTAGACGCCGGGGAGTAGGCGGCCCCATGGGGTGTGCTCTCACAATGTACTCAGGAGGCAGCAGACATGCATGTGAGCACCCACTTGACGCCGGAAACCGCCTCCTACCCAGTGCGGGTACAGCACGAGCGGGCCGGCGGTGCCGGAGTCCTTACTGTCCTGCTGCTTCAGGCCACGTCTGCTCAGGGCAAGCAGATGACAGGCCCTGCTGGGTAAGGGGATTGTGGGCTGAAAGGGAGCAGGACTGGTGCAGAGTTACAGGCCGACTTTCTTGTTTGTTAAGTGCATTTCTAAAGGGCCACCCAGCCCTATAGTGCAGCAGCTGGGCACTGCACAGAGGAAGCTAGGTACTACACGGCTGGCCGTGGTTCAAGTCCTGGTCCCATCAGCCTGAAAAACACCGGGCACACATCTGTGCCCAAGATCCTGACAGAATGGAGACTGGCCCCGTCAGAGGGAGCTTTCTACCTCTGTCTCTGGTGAGTTAAAAAACGGGGTCCACAAAAAGCCAAGCTTTGAAATATACCTTCCTGGGACCAGCAATCATGCCATCTGCTGGTCCCACTTGGTCCATCTCTTAAAACTCCAGGTGTGAGATTGAAGTAGGGCCGCCCAGCATCTGCAACCCCGCTGCTGACTGCTCACCTGCCTCATCCTCACCAAGCAATTGGCTCTTTTCTCTGCCGTGAACTTTGCACCTGCAGCTGCCAGGGGCTCCAGGGCGCCGTCTGCCATGTCCAAGGAAACGCCACAGTGGGGGTCTGCCACTGGAGCCGTGGCCTCCCTTTCGTCACATC